CAACTCAGCGCTTCCCGGAGTCATCCCACCCCTCCATCATCTGCATGCGGCGCACGGCTTTGCGACGCCTGTGGCAGGGAGTACGGGCGTCGGAACGGGCGGCACATCGCCAGCCACAGCTGCTGGAGTGGTGGCCGCCTCTCAGTGCACCCCGAGTCCTAGTCCCTGTTCACATCGACGCCTGGCTTCGGCAGGTACGGCTGCAGACAATGCACAATCTCTAATCTGTAGATCCTAAGCTGGGGATTACCTTTCGACTGTTTATCTAATGTTGAATTATCTTCTTGTTTGCCCGCTGTTCAGGTAACATAATGCTGCCCGTTCGGGCCATACATGAGCGTTCGCATTCGGACACGCCAGCACCGCCACCGCCGCTACCATCGGTGGATCTATCGCTGGAGAGCAGTAGTGTGACTACCTTTCGTGATTTACCCTTGCGCAAATCCGTGACTTCCGGTGAGTCGAGGCTCTGCAGAGGGACTCAAAGATGGACTAAAACCACATGCTTTTAGATGCTACTAAAAAAAACCGATAGATAGTTGCATACATATAGTATATACACCATGTAAAGTGCTTAAGATCAAAGCTAGAGCTAGAGCTCTATGAGCAGATGATGTTGGATGCCTCAAAAATAGATGTTTTGTTGCTAAAACTCTTACTGATTGTTTCCAGTTGCTCCCAGATTTGAGTATACTTGATGCAAAAATCGTAAAATTAGGTTTAGGAATTTTAGGAAATATTTTTCGAATATTTTCCCATTAAATCTTCAGTTTTCTGTGATTGATTCTATTGCTCTTACGAAATACTGATGTTATATTACTATTTCATCGTACAATCTATTGAATCGTTCCTTGGGAATATTCTCTTTTCGCGTCTTTTGTGACTAAAGGTCTATATTCAAGTCAATTCGTGGTTTGTGACAAAGTTTCCATTCGTTTATGGGAAGTTTGTACAACAAAACAATGATTTGCTGTTTAGCCCTTCGCTTATGGGAAATTTGTGCCTTCAAAGGAAAAAAAAAGCATCAAATATTATCTAAAGCTCGAATTGCACTGTATTTATATGTATGTATCTATGCCGGCTGCCCTCCAATCATTAGCTATATACTATATATAAACTGTAGCTTAAATTTAGTTGCCATTTAGTGAAAAGTGTTAGATTTGCGCTTTAGACTCTTGTGCCCCCTGCTTGCATTTGATTTCCTCCATTATTTTTGGTGGTTGGTTTTGGATTTTTGGATTTGGTTGTGGCTTACACTACACACACACACCTACACCTACACATACACGTACACGTACACGTATAGACACACGCACACCTTGAATGGGAATCCCTTTTTCGGGGGTAAACCCACTTTCAATGGGAGACCAAAACTTTTTCTTTACGCCTACTTTCACACACATCCAACAGGTTCCATATCGTCATGCGACAGCGGCTATGTGCATCAGCAGCAGCAGCAACAGCAGGTGCACCACCACCAACAACAACAACAACAACAACAGCACCACTTACAATACCAACAACAACAACAACCACAACACACCAACCATGAGCCATCGCCGCCGGTTTACACGGCAGCTGATTGTCGCCTCTTACAGCAGATATCGAATAATGCGGTCACCCGCAATCTGAACAGTCCCTGCCAGAGCACAAATCACACACCACCCAGCACGCCCACACCACCACCACAACCGACACAGACACAAGCAACGTCTCAGGCAGCAATTGCAGGCGCCACACCCACCATACAGCTTTCCGCACCACCAACCGCTGCGGCCTACATGCACATGCGGAGTCAACAACAGCAGCAGCAGCAGCAGCAGCAGCAACAGCAGCTCCAACAGCAACAATCTTTGGCCATGCCACCGCCACCACCACCGCCGTACAATGTGCCACCGCTGGCCAGTCTATACAATCATCATCATAGCAGTGCGGCGGCCAGTAGGCACCTCAACCACATGCATGGTAAGCAGCAGATCAACAGATCAGCCAGTAAGAGGGAAGCAGCAGAACCGAACCACTACCGAAAACCACCAGAAAAACCACAGAATGCAATGCAAAGCAGGAGTTTGAGTCTCGAGTCTCTCAGGTCTTTTTCTGTGTTTAGAAATATATGAGTTTTACCATACCCACATGCAGAACTTATGTTTTATCGACTTTATAGGAATCGAATTCGGTATAAAATAACTCATTTGTGTTTGTTCTTTTCGCAGGTGGCCCGCCAAATTTTATGGATAGCACCAAGTGTACCATATGCCCCATGCCACCCATGAATCAATAATGAAATCAAATCAAATTGTGCTGTTTTAACTACTAAAATGTTAATTTAATTAGTTGTGAGTACTTAGAGTTATGTCTTTCACAGTGTGTTTTGGAAGTGGAAATTGTTGAAAACCTTTCGGAGCAATCCAAGGTCAAGAACAGTCGGCATTCTCGGACCTTCCCTTTTGAAGGCTTTGCTTGTGCGTGCCGAGTCGAGTCGAGAGCAAAGTCGTGCCCACCGCTGCCTTCCAAAACACACTGTACCACAAATATCTACCCATAATTACCAACTAAATGGAGTTTATTTTTCTCTTTCCAGCATATAGTAGAGTTGCCAAAATTTGTTAATGGTTGTGTGGTTTCCATTTCGCCAGCAAAAAAAACCCAAGAATGAAAGACAAACAGAGACCCCTTCTTCGGAGGAGGAGTAGCATCCCAAAAGTGAGAGAGAGACGAGTAACTGGAAGCCAATTGTGTCGCGTATTTAATTTAGAATATAGCTTAAGTGTCTTACAGTATAATTTTAGTTGCTCTAGTGGCTTACGATTTATAATTTAATTTAGCAAAATTCTTTGTACACAAGGTCCCGCCCCAAACAAGCAAACATTCACCGCCTCCGAGCGCTTAGTCGTTGCCTTTTCTTGTAGAAGAAAACGTCGTCTGCAGGCAGACCCCACCACCCAAGCAGAAACCCAAAATCAAACTCTTTTGAAGACTTCAACGTCGGCATTTACAGACAAAACAAAGCAGAATTTTCCGAATGCCCAGCTCAACACAACGAGGACGATCCACACGCAAATTAAAACAGAAAAAGAGGACGGACTAGAGAGCACTTACTCAAACACACACACACACACAGGGGCTCTCTCGTGAATTCCATTAATGTATACTTCTTTTTTATGCTTATGTACAAGTTAGTTATACTATATACATACTACTTATATACGATATACTATATACACGCTGAAAAACCTTCGCTCCAATTCCAAATATTTAGTTTGTAAGCCCAAAAGTAAGAGACAAAGAGAGAGAGAGAAAATGATTTCGAATATTTTTCCAATCATTCGTTGTATTTATGCGTATTTTTTTTGCGAAGGTAGGATACGGATACGGATACGAAATGAAAGACAAAATGCAATACCGACCTAGACTCTAGCCCACACACATGAAAAATGAGAAAATCAAAGTACAACTACACCCGAAATACCAACCGGAAACATAAGTTTATATAAAAGACAACAAAGAAACATAAACAACCCTGAGACTTGAACGCAGCATAACCGAAATGTAATCATTTTTTGACTCCAATATAAATCTACAATACGAGTATATATACTATATATTTTTGGTGTGTGCATGATTGCCTGTTATATACATAGAATATATACAATATATATATATATATATATACAAACCTATATACAAGAAATCTCTATACCATATTTATGTATACAAAAACACAAAACCTGAACAAAAACTAGCCTGAATTCCAATGCAAAAACCAATTTATGTTTTGCTAAAGACGAAAGAAATTCGAATCCGAAATACTTTAAGAAATGCTTATTTTTTTTATACGATGCACATTTTGTTTTATCTGAGGCTATCTGATGGATAGCGATCGTTCCGTTCTAAACCATCCTGACTATGGAGGCAGCCCAACGATCGACAGACATCTAAATATTAACAGAGTTGAAATCCGATCTAAAAGCATTTAAATTCCAAAGACAAACAAATTTCCAGAGAAAAAAATTAAGGAAAAATCTCTTAAGCAAGCTCTTTTAGTCAGTTAAGTTCTAAGCGCCCCTCGGTCGCTTGGGCTGGCGGAGAGCTGAGGTTTCACCACTTGATAGGTGGATCTGTCTACTCTGATTCACAAATTTCGTAAAATGTTTCGTATAAACAAAGTAAATATTTAGCTAAAGACAGAAATATTATAATTGTATACATCGTGCTCTTTGTATCTTTAATTAAGTTTAAATTTGAATATAGTCCTGTATTCTTTGAGTATCGGACATAAAAACCAATCTCCAATTTGCTTGTTTAAGAACCTTACAAGAAGGTTATCCAAACAAAACTCAAATACTGTAATAAAAAACCACAAAAATCAAAACCAAATTTTGCATTTTGCTTAAATTTAAATACAAAAAAAAAAAACCCCCCAGAAATAGACATTAATGAAAGTACAAACTTTTTAGAGGGTTTTTTGTTTTTTTAAGGGGGAGTAGAAAGAAGAAATACTCCACTACAATTTTGAGGGTGTGTGTATCCTATTTTTGGAAGCGAATTAAAATTTCAATGATTGTTTTTTGAAGAATATTATGGGTTTTAAATGTTAATGATTTACGTTTTTTAAAGCACTTTGGACTGGCCATAAAGATTTGAACGAAGTGCCAAAAAATATCTTCCTATTTTGAGGATTATCAAATCCATTTCATAAAGCAATATATTGAGTCCCCACGGGGCACCAAAAAAAAAAAGAGAATTAAAACCTTTCCTTAAAAATTCCAGCACGATTTCTCCCGACCCGCATGAAAGTCCTAACTATGATGCCCCCGTCCGTCCCGTCTTCAATGAATAAAAATAAAAAAACGTAATTTTTTGCAGAGCTAAAACAAAACACATTAATATTTACACGAAACAGTATTTGAATTGTATTTTGTAATTCATTTAAAAATTCTATATGTATACAGATATGTGTATTGGAACATCAGTCGATAAATAAAAATGAATATAACATGTATAAAATTTGTATAATTTTTATTGCTTTCTGTGGGATATCAATTCGTTAATTCGTTATTTCGCATTTTGCTTTTCGTGTGGCTCTTTTTAAAAAATATAGTACATACATACAAATACGTGTATAAATAATTTGGCTTTAAACCTAGGCACTACCACGCGTTAGTCGTATATTTAACAAAATTTGATTGTGGTTCTAGTTTTGGTAACAAATTCTGCAACTTACAAACTTAAAGCGATGTTGGGGTCTGTTTAAGAGTAGCTGCCCGAAAAGGAAGAGCAGTTTATTTGTGGTCACATACAGTGCGATACAGTACTATACAGCCGTGACACGCACTGTAATGGTGGATATGGACAAAGTCTTAAAGTAAAGTAAAATTGTTCGCTTTTTTGTATGTGTAAATCTTAAAGGATGAAAAATACTTTTGGGAAGCCCTGGTTCTCCACTAAATCAATCTCGTGCGCTTCAGATACGTGATGAGCAGATTGTATATGAATTTGTATTGCGCCAGGGATGGTATAATGCTGTCCCGCTGATGACGCAGCTGTCCAATGACACGGGGTATGTCCAAGTCCTACGAATATCAGAGAATACAATGAATACTCCACACAAATCTGAGTCCTAGCCCTTACCTCATTGTGGTCTAAGGTGTAGAGCAACAGATCTGCTGTTAGCGTCACGCCCGACCTCCCGCCACCTTCCAGGCAGTGGATGAGCACCGGAGGATTCGTATTGTGGCCGGGCGGCACCTCATGTGTCGAGGCCAATCTCACAGAGTTGAGTTCCTCGAGAAAGTCAAGAAAATGATTCACATCCCGGGGACAGTTCTGTTCCGCCCAGTCGGCGTACTGCAGATGCCACACAGACCGATAGCGACGCGAGGGTGCATGATAGAGACGCAGTTTGCTGGTGGTGCAACGATCGGTGGTCTGTGAGAACTCCTGATACACTTGGAACTGCAAGGGGAGAGGGGAATGACATGGAGAACTGCTTCAGAGTGAGGGAATGGATCACGAACCTGTCCAAACTCCAAACGCTGCTGACTGCTCAGAGGAATGTAGCTCATGTCTTCGGTTAGCTGCACCACCAGATAGACATCGGCCTCCCACACGCACTGCCAGAAGATGCGCATCGTCTGCGACTCCTGCGGGGATTGGGCCACAATATAGAAGCGCTGTTTAGTGCCCACAGTGGCCTAAGCAACCAGAGAAAGTTGTGAAAGTTAGAGCTTTTCAATGGGCAAAGTCGTTTCCACCCACCGATATATATGAGGCATTCACATAGCCATGGCGATTGTCCATTGCGGGCGTCAGTCTGACACGATTGTCGTCGTAGGGCAGAAAATTGGGATCATGGTTCTTCGGTTCGTTCTCTTCCAGCAAAGCGCAGTCGTACAGGGCATTCTCTCGTCGCTTCGGTATGCGTTCAAATTCCATAAACAGCTGTGTATCCTGTAGTTTCTCATTGAGAATCTGGCACTGGAATGTAACTATCATTAGAGACTACGCTTTGGGAATATATTTTCGCATTGTTTTACCAGTTTATCCTTGGAGTATTGCCCCGATATGGGCTGCGGTTTGCTCACCCCCGTGGACCATCGATTGGGCAGATTGAGATCGTCTTGGGCCAGCTTCATCTTTGCCGCCAGCTTTGCATGCTGGTTGGAGGAGGTGGCCTTCTCTCTGCCCAGCGTGGCCGCCTTCTGTTTGTCGGGGGTCTTGCTGCGCGCCAGAAAGTTCCAGCGCTTCTTCCGCTTGCCATCTTTGCTGGCCGCCGACGAGGAGGTGGTGTCCAGCGTCGAGTTGAACATGGATGAAGTGGATGCTGATGTATTGGCTGACAGATTCATGGCACTAAATTGTTGATGGAGCGATTCGCCTGTGGGTGAAATGACATCCACCGTTGTGGATTTGTTGAGGCTCGCCGTGGACCGATGCTGACGCGGTGGCGCCGTTGCCCCTATGGCCGGCGCAGCACTGGCCGCCCGGGCCGCCCTCTGCGGTGCCTGCGGCTCCAGGAACTGCATCTCGCTGCTGACCGCCCGATCCGCTGCGAACTTTTGGATATTCCGCGTAATCTCATTATTTGGCTGGGCATTCACCGTCACAGTGACCACGTTATTGCTGCTGGCATGACGTACTGCTGGCACGGGCACCACCCCTGGCGGCGCCGACTGTATGGAGGAGGCCCGCTGACGCATTGCCTCTGCGTGGGCAGCCGCTGCTCCACTGCTGCCTCCCGATGCCCTCTGTGGCAGTGGCACATTCTCGTAGATCGGCTCAATGGATCCGTTAACAACACTCCGCTGTAAAGGCGTGGGTGTGGTGGATTTCTGTGGCGGCACAACCACTGGCGGTGGCTGCGGACTGCTGGCTGGAGGTGGTGCAGAGCTGCGATAGCCACTCGGTGGTAGGGTGGGTGAACTAGAAGGGAAAACGAGTTCAATTAGTGCTGTGTATAGGGTTTGGATGTAAGAGAACCACTAATTATTGAGGTATCTGTTGGATATCTAATGTTTCTTTGACTATAGTCCACAGATAACTCTATATATGGGTTGGAAATTCTTATCCCAATTATACAGAATTGATATTTGTCTTAAATGAGCCCACAATCTGTTGGATATCTAAAGTTTCATCTACCATAAGCCAGAACTTCCTTGGAAAACGTTTGATATCTTGAGTTCTTTTTAATTATTTCTTTGTTAATTGTTTGTAATCGCTACTCGTCTATAAACATACCTCTGTGTTGCTACGACGGCAGCTTGTGCCGCCGCCTGACTCATAGCCGATTGTCGCAGCTGCGACATAATGGACGGCTGCTCCTCGATCATATTGAGGTTCTCGAAGGTGCCATGCGGCGGCAAATACGGCTGCGAGTGCCCCATATGGCCGATGTAGTGATGCAGCATGGTCGCACCCGAAGAGGTGGGCATATTCCCACCATGGCCACCGGCAGCCAACGCCACAAACTGTCCGCCATTGAGGAGCGTGCGATTGGAGACTAGATCTGGGGACGAACCGCTCACATAGTTGCGGTATCCCTGCAACGGTCGGGGCGTGGCCACGGCCAGATCGGGCGTCGACGAGGAGCTCAATCGATTGACGGGATATGGCGGCGGTGCCTTGTGCCGCATCATATGCATCCGCGAGAGCTCCAGATACGCCTGGGCCGTGCCCACAGCTGGCTGCTGCTGCTGTTGCTGTTGCTGCTGCGTTTGGTAGAGATTTATGTGGTGATGGAGGGCAGCGGCTGGCTGGGCCACATCCGGATACCGGTGCGCCGTCAGGTGGCCAAAGACTACGTTCTCATTGTATGCCCCCGGATTGTGGACATCCGGCTGGGAGCCCGCATAGTAGGCGTTCCCCGGGGCTGCCAAGGCGAGCGTCACGTTGTGCAGCTCGGCGGAGGGAGTGCGATATTTTAGCTGGACGGCCGTCTCGTAGTCCGGAGCGGGCCTATAAGTGGGAAGCATGGCTTTGAGGCGCTCTCTTTCCTCATTGTTGTTGTTGTGGTGGAGCATTCCGTTGCTGCTGTGCAGGTTATTGTTGCTCAAGTCAAGGCAGGAGCTGCTCTGCCCCAAGAGCTGGCTGTGGCTGTGGTTGGCGCTGGTCGTGAGGGACATATTGGAGGATAGCATCTGTTGCTGTTGTTGCTGCTGCAGCTGATGTTGCTGTTGCATGTGCTGTTGTTGCTGCTGTTGGAGCTGCTGCTGCTGGAGTTGTTCGACGGCTGCCGCCTCTCCGTAATCGTAATCCACATAGCCCACGCTGTCGCCACCAATGTGACCGCTACTCTCTACGTCCGCCGCACTGCCCATGCTCGAGGGCGTGGCCGTGTCAATGTACCGCTTGAAGAACTTGTGCTGGCTGATGCACAGTTTCCAGAAGTAGCGTGCAGTGTCGGCCTCCCCAAAGATGAAGCTCCCGACGATGCTGCCATCGCCATCGAGTTTGTTCTGTTCGATCTTGATGGTGCGCTTGTCGATGGTCACCGTGTGAAAGTCCTTCCAGGGAAAGTACTGCCGCCCGTTGTCGGCATTCACGACCATTCCATTGATGGCCAGACCCAGAAGGAGATCGTTCCCCAGCGTATCCTTCGCAGAGAAACGTTCCTCCCCATAGCCATCTAGCTGCTGACAGCACTGTATGTACATCTCCTCCGCCCGGCTTTGGGTGAGATGCGCCAGGGTCGCCTGCTGCTGCAGCACCTCCATGATGAGGCCCTCCAGCATGCTGTCATCGTTGGCCAGGCCCTGCATATTCCGCGGCAGCACTAGAGACTTCTTCAGGTAATCCTTGCTCTGCTTGTCCCCCTGGTAGCTGTCGTACTCAGCCTGGCGGCAATACAGAGCCAGCAAGATGGCTGTACGGATGTCACAGGCGATCTTCCCCTCATAAATGTCGCTCTTTAGCTGCAGAAAGTAGTAGAATCTGGTGGCCTCGTCGCTCAGATGCCGCACACCCGTCGTCACATAGTGGCGCACTCGCAGGTAAATCTTTGGCCCCGCCGCATACTTCTCCAGCTGCCGGCTCAGCGATCGCTCCAGATCGATCCATTTATACTCGTCCTCCTTTCCACGGACGAGGTATCGCAGTCCAAAGAACTCTGGCTGCTGGATGAGCAGACGCTGGCAGACGTTGTCCAAGCACTCCTGGCCCTTGCTCTCCGAACTGATCGTGCAGTCGACGGTACTGGAGGTGTCTAAAAAAATAACCAGAGAGAGAAAGAGAGAGAGAGAGAGGGGTTCGGCGATTAAAAACGTGCTCCGAAAAAGATACAAAAATGCTTGCCTCTATGGGCCTGGCCCACAGCACGCGCAAATATGTTAATACATTTGTAATACCCTCTAAGAGGAGGTGTGATGGGCTGGGCAAGAGGTTTGTCAAGTGGAGCAGGAAGGTAGAAATACTGTAACATTTATAAGAAAGGCCCTATAAAAATAATTATTTTTGCATTATTGAGGACTTCAATCGGTTTTGCCCAGATCGGTGGACTATATAGGATGGGTTCAATAAGAAACATCGTTCAAAACGAGAGCCTTTATACGATTTATAGTCTTTTACAGAACTATAACTAATCGGATGGCTATACAATATACCTTGCTACAATATATCCTTCAATAAATAGATAGAAATAGCATATTCATAATAAGATTCTTTTGTGGGATAAAGCAGTCAGAAATCATAAACAACGATGACTTTAAAGGGTATCTAACTATTCGACACCCCATAAAAAGTGCTACTAGCTTCTTTCTAATCTCTTGTGAGGCCTTATTTGTTTTAAAAAACGGAAATTGTCGAGGTTTTTGGGTTTCCTAATGGTTATCCAATGGTAATGTGGCGCAACAGAGCACTCTTATGAGATCCTCTGTTATCCGACTGTTACACAGAGCCCCTGTTAGGTCAGGATAACAGCTCAACAGGTTTTTCTGTTGTTGTTGCCGCATTTCTTAGTCCTAAAATGTTGGCCAATTGCAACAAGATAGACAAAAACAACAAACAAAAAAAAAAACTGGTAACCCTCGCATCAGGCCATGATAAACCAAATGCTTATCATGTGGCGGGGGCAATATAAGTACAATTATGTGTAGATTTGCAATTAAATAAACCAACAAGTGTAATGGCAGCTGTTTTGTGGGTAGACGACGTCGACTCATAGATATTATAGCTGATGGGTGCTACGCCCCCTTCCTGGCACTGAGGGTTTACTCACCCAACAAATGATGCACTGATATAACAAACAAACTTTTAGACGTCACATTATATTGGCGACACTTTTTCAAGAATTTAAATGGCATTTCCGTGCCGTGCTCGGAGCTTCGCTCGGGCTCTGGCTTCAAGGGGGCGCGGGGGAACGAAGACCTGGTCTACGGGGGACTGTCGCTGCTGCTGGCGGAGGTGTCTTTCTGTCAGCTCCACGGGAATTTGCATGTAAATTACACAATTGGAACGTTTTCGTTCGTTTTGCAGGCTGTCCGCGAGCAGCTGCTAAGGCACTGCGGTTGGCGCACAATGGCACACGCGTCACGTCCGTTAAATAATTGGCTAAAACCAGCCCAGAGCCCGTGCTAAAAAATAAATACAAGTCTTAACAAAAACTAAAAAACGAGTAGGTGGTATCGAGTGAGTACAAGTGCAGCGACCAATCGAGTGGATCGATAGTTGATTTCGATTAGCCGGATTAGAGGATTGCTTACGAACACAGTAAGGGTACTCCAGGTTTTAACAAAAACTGAAAACGAAAGTTTGTTAATATATTTGTAGGTGGACGGTACATTTTTTTCTGAATTCTTTCTCACTATTTTTCTGCTGTTTCACGTTTTAAGATCCTATACTCGCGACTTTTAAGTATTTTATCGATGCATCGGTGTAAAAATATCGGTATTTTTGTGCGATAAGCAGAACTTATCGGCGGTTTATTTTGAAAATAATAATATTAATAACTAGAATGTGTATTTGGAGATAGGATTACATTTTAAATGACTTCAAGGGGGAACACATTATCAATCGTATTGCTATCATCTTGATGTTTTTCTTCATCGGTCTCTTTCCCAGTGGTAGCACTAGATTGGTCGTTCTTCTCTCCAGTATGAAAACTGAAAGCAGTCTCATGCTGAGAGGGGTCTTTTCTATGTAGCTCTTGGAGAACTATGACTTCGAAATTTTAACAGGGAACGCAGTTTTATGGTTAAGACTTGACCATTCCGTATGGGTACGCATATGAGCCTGAGCCTGAGTCCCCTCTTGGGCAAAGGTCTCAGTGCAGTAAGGACACTTAAACGGTAGCTCTGGCGTGCGAGTGTGAGTTCGTATGTGAATTTTGAGATACGCTAGTGAAATGAAGGCATCAAGACATTGTGGGCATTGATATGGCTGCTCCCCCGTGTGGGTACGGGTATGTTCTCGAAGATGTGCCTTTTTTTCAAAGACCTCAGGGCACTGCGTACACTTGAATGGACTCTCTCCAGTGTGCGTGCGGATGTGTGCCTTGAGATGGTGGTTTTGCACAAACGTTTTTGGGCATTCGGTGCATTGATACGATCGTTTATCTGTGTGCGTAACCATATGTCTTCTAAGATTGCATTTTTTTGAGAAGACTTTGAAGCACTGAGAGCATTGCTGGCGTTTGTTAGCTTTATGAGAGCGTCTGTGAGAGGCACGATTTACGAGATGTTTAAACGACATCGGGCAGTAAGAACACTTAAATGGTCGCTCCGCCATGTGGACCCGGATGTGTCCGACGAGCTTGGATTTCTGTTTAAATGACTTCGAACAGTGTGGACACGTGTACGGTCCGCTGCGTACACTGAGATGGGACTCTCTGGGAGAGAATTTTGGTTTACAATTATCACTATTATTGCTATCATCTTGATGTTTCAATTGCTCAGTTCGGTCATCTGAATGTAGCGAATCCTCGTCTTGTTCCTTGTCTTCCCCTATCAGCGCGAAAACGAGTTTATGGCTCTGCTCACAGGTGGACTTAAGATTGAAGGCACTTATTGCATCCTCCAGGCAAGGCGGACATATGATTTCTGGTAGCGAATCCCCTCGCTTAACCACGTACCCGGTGCACTGCGATATGATATCACCAATGCACATATCCATTGTAGGTCTTTCGTCAAAAATGTTCCTGAATTCTCCGGACGTTCCCATGCAAACTCTGCATATTTCCTCCATTCTCCTGCAAGCAAAATAATGTTAATAAATAGAGTACAAAAATGTACATACAATTGAGTGCATATCAAACCCACAAGCAACCAAATCGTGAAGTTGTCGGAGCTCCAAAATAATCTGTTTGTTTTGTTTTGCGAAAATGAACGCAATGTTATGGATTAGCTATCGGATTTATCAATGTGGGTACTCCTGTAATTACATTTAAACTCTGGTCTGCTTCATGCAGGCTCCGGTTTCAGCCAAAACATTTCGTTATCGTTTCTAGGTGCTCCACTTTTCAAAAGTCGTTGTCGTCGATATGTTTCATTTTATCACCGTTTCTGGCAAACAAAAACAGCTGACCGACCTAGTAGTTTCGTAAATAAATATCGTGATAAAATGGCTTTTATTTAAAAAAAAAAAAAACTATTTCAGAAAGAACGGAATTTGAAAAGATCAAGGCATCTCAGATGCGACACCCGTGTATTTAACATGTCTGACGAACTGAGAATAGCAGCATGCAAGCTTAAGAGTAAACTGCGAATGGTAATACTTTTAGATTTGTTAGTCATTAGGGATCGAAAAACATACTTTTAAAAACAAACATACTCAAAGTTAATATGTTGCATTTACAATTTGAAGCCCCAATTGTGTTACAAGCACAATTTCGACTGTTACGCGAGCCTTTCTGCTGTTTTGCGCAGACATTATTTTTTACCGACGTTCCGAGAAACGAATCTTGATAGGAAAGCTTTTAGCACCGCGTTATTCTGTTACGTTCCGATTATTAACCGGCCTTCGAGAAAACCGAATCGCGTAACAGCCTTTTACTGGTGTTACACAGGCCACTTGACGGTGCAGTAATTGCATCGCCTCTTGAAAGATGCAGTCATTGCATGTCAACGTCCAAAAAAAAGTTTATGTGGTAGTCTAGTCTTTATTCTAACGACGATTAACCTAAGTCGAGTAACCGGGCCTAAATGATTTAAAAGTTACAGTAGAAAGGATAGCGGAAATAATTTAACTTAAAGATGTTCTCCACTAGGAGCAATCGTATCTTCCAGAGTTCTTACTGATGTGTTCTCGAAGCGATGAGAAAGACATACATAGGTGTCTTTGGTATCCAAAAGTCTTTGAACAATGGTAGCACTTATAAGGACGCTCCCCCGTATGAGTGCGGAGTGTACTTTGAGTCATTTTAATTGACATTGAGCAGTGGTGGAATCGTCCCGTGTTGCGTACGAATGTGTTTTTTAAAAGTGGATTCCTGCGTGAAGGTTTTTGAGCAGTGATAGCATTGGTAGGGTCGTTCTCCTGTGTGCTCCCGTGTGCGTACGGATGTGCATATTAAGGCTGCGTACTTGTGTGAAGGTTTTTGGGCAGTGGGAGCATTTGTGGGGTCTTTCTCCTGTGTGGGAGAGTAAGTGTGACCTAAGATGGGCGAGCTGTTTAAACGACACCGCGCATTTAGAACATTTATACGGTCGCTCCCCCGTGTGAGTACGGCTGTGTACGATTAGCTGGCCTTTCAGTTTAAATGACTTCGAACAGTGGGCGCAGTAGAATGATCGCTCATCTGTGTGAGTACGGATGTGATTCCGAAGAATTCTGGATTGAGAGAATGACTTCGCGCAGTGTGGACACGTGTACGGTCGCTCCCCAGTGTGGCTATGGCTGTGTTCACTGAGGTGGTATTTTCTTTGAAAGGATTTTGGACAGACGGAGCATTTGAAGACTCGTTTACAATTATCACTGTTATTGCTATCATCTTGCTGTTTCGATTGCTCAGTTCTGTCATCTGACTGTAGCGAATCCTCGTCTTGTTCCTTGTCCTCGTCTATCAGCGAGAAAAAGAGTTTATGGCTCTGCTCGTAGGTGGACTTAAGATTGAAGGCACTCATAGCATCCTCCAGGCAAGGCGGACATATGTTTTCTGGTAGCGAATCTCCTCTCTTAACCACGTACCCTGTGCACTGCGATATCATGTCACCAATGCACGTATCCATTGTTGGTCTTTCGTCAAAAATGTTCCTGAATTCTCCGGACGTTCCCATGCAAACTCTGCATATTTCCTCCATTCTCCTGCAAACAAAATAATGTTAATAAATAGAGTACAAAAATTTACATACAATTGATTGCATATCAAACCCACAAGGAACCAAATCGTGAAGTTGTCGGAGCTCCAAAATAATCTGTTTGTTTTGTTTTGCGAAAATGAACGAAATGTTATGGTTTAGACAATAGTTATCGGATTTATCAATGTGGGTATTCCCGTAATTAAATTTACACTTTGAACTGATTTGCATATCAATTTTAATCAATTTAATGAAAAGTATTCAATGGAAAAATTCTCTGTTATAATATTAACTATTTTAGCAGACTGTTTTGTCAATTGAGCTGGAAAACATCGGTGGTTCTGGTGCGAAAAATCAGAAAACATCGATGTCACCAATAGACCGTTCTATCGATATTTTGTCCAGCTGTATAATCAACAGGCTATTGACAAAGTCGCAGGCGCTGCGACTGTGATTAGCCAGATTCCGTCGACTATATAGTTCATATACTAACGCACTGCACCGATGTGTGTATAAGTAACGTACATATATAGAAATACATATATGCGCGATGGATCGTGCGTCGTAGCTTGCTCGCGTCCTGGCTGATTGCGTCCTTGCTCTGCTTGTCCCTCTGATAGCAGTCGTACTCAGCCTGGCGACAGTACAGAGACAGCAGGATGGCTGTACGGATGTCACAGGCAATCTTCCCCTCATAAATGTCGCTCTTTAGCTGCAGAAAGTAGTAGAATCTGGTGGCTTCGTCGCTCAGATGCCGCACACCCGTCGTCACATCGTGGCGCACTCGCAGGTAGATCTTTGGCCACGCCGCATACTTCTCCAGCTGGCGGCACAGCGATCGCTCCAGATCGATCTATTTATACTCGTCCTCCTTTCCACGGACGAGGTATCGCAGTCCAAAGAACTCTGGCTGCTGGATGAGCAGACGCTGGCAGACATTGTCCAAGCACTCCGGGCACTTGCTCTCCGAACTGATAGTGCAATCGACGGTACTGGAGGTGTCTAAAAAAATAACCAGAGAGAGAAAGAGAGAGAGGGCGATTCGGCGATTAAAAACGTGCTCGGAAAAAGATACAAAAATGTTTGCCTCTATGGGCCTGGCCCACAGCACGCGCAAATATGTAAATACTTTTGGACCCGAAGGAGGAGCCGACGTCGCCTGATGTTTCGTTTCAAGCGTCTCTTCTATTCCTTATACTATTCTAATACTAATACCAAGGGTCTATCTGCCGTGCACCGATGGGACGCTGCTGTTTCTTGGGGGCTTACTTCTCACATCGGGGCAGGTCGCTGCCGCACCGGAGGTTCACTCCATACAATTTTTGTTAGAAAACACTTTGTGTTGTTCCAAACAACTCCGAGCCAAGAATGACTACTACAAGTAGATGCGGCATGACATCCCAATCCAATATACTTACGTGTCTATGGAGATACTTCGTATCAAGTAATATCAGTTGCATACCGTTTGGTTCTTTAAATGCTGTTGATGTCTGGAATCGCAGTGGGTGCACCAGATGGATCGATTATCTCTCCAGTATGAGCAGGTATGTGTTCGTTGAGATGGTCTTTTTCTTTGTGTCTTTCAAGACGGGCTTTTCTTATAAAAGACTTTGGGCATTCGGAGCATTGGAACGGTCGTTTATCTGTGTGCGTATGCATGTGTCTTCTAAGATTGGATTCTTCTGAGAAGGCTTTTGAGCATTGGGAGCATTGGTGGGGTCTTTCACCTGTGTGGGAGCGTATGTGCATTCGAAGATGGGAGTGTTGTTTAAACGACATCCAGCAGTCAGAGCACTTATACGGTCGATCTCCCGTGTGAACACGGATGTGTATTTGGAGATGGGATTGTATCTTAAATGACTTCGAGCAGTGAGAGCATTTATGGGGTCCCTCCACTTCAAGAGGCTTCGATTGGGTCTCTTCTCCAGTGGAAACACTAGAAATGTCGTTATTCTCCCCAGTGTGAACCCGTATGTGACTGCTGAGATGGGCCTTTTGTTTGTAGGACTTGGAGCACTGAGAGCACTGGTAGGGTCGATCATCTGAGTGCGTACGGATGTGTCTTTCAAAGAGGTATTTTTGTATAAAAGACTTTGAGCATTCGTTGCATTGGTAGGGTCCTTCACCCATGTGCGTTCGGAGGTGAGTCTTCAGGTTATCTTCCAAGCTGAACCATTCGGAGCAGTGGGGACATGGGTAAGGTCGTTCGTGTTCATCCGTATGCGAACGCATATGAGCCTGGAGAATTCCCACTTGGGCAAAGGTGTCAGAGCAGTGAGAACACTTATACGGTAGCTCTGCGTTGCGAGTGTGAGTTCGTATGTGAATTTTAAGATACGCTCGAGCAAGAAAGGTTTTTGGACATTGTGGACATTGATATGGTTGCCCCCCCGTGTGAGTACGGGTATGTTCAAGAAGATTTGCATTTTTTTGAAAGGACTTGGGGCACTGCGTACACTTGAATGGTCGCTCCCCAGTGTGCGTGCGGATGTGTTCCTTGAGATGGTAGTTTTGTACAAAAGACTTTGAGCATTCGGTGCACTTGTAGGGTCTTTCACCCGTGTGCGTGCGAATGTGCATATTAAGATTGGGCACTTGTGTGAAGGTTTTTGGGCAGTGAGAGCATTTGTAGGGTCTTTCTCCTGTGTGGGAGCGTACGTGTGAGGTAAGATGGGCGAGCTGTTTAAACGACACCGCGCAGTAGGAACACTTGTAAGGTCGCTCCCCTGTGTGAGTACGGCTGTGTACGATTAGCTGGCCTTTCAGTTTAAATGACTTCGAACAGTGGGCGCAGTAGAATGATCGCTCATCTGTGTGAGTACGGATGTGATTCCGAAGAATTCTGGATTGAGAGAATGACTTCGCGCAGTGTGGACACGTGTACGGTCGCTCCCCAGTGTGACTATGGCTGTGCTCAGTGAGGTGGGATTTTCTTGGAAAGGACTTTGGACAGACGGAGCATTTGAAGAGTCGTTCACAATTATCACTGTTATTGCTATCATCTTGATGTTTCGATTGCTCAGTTCTGTCATCTGAATGTAGCCAAACGTCCTTATCCTTGTCCATCAGCGTTAAAAAGAATGTATGGTTCTGCTCACAGGTGGACTTAAGATTGAAGGCACTCATAGCATCCTCCAGACAAGGGAGACATATGTTTTCTGGTAGTGAGTCCCCTCGCTTTACCACGTACCCGGTGCACTGCGATATCATGTCACCAATGCACATATCCATTGTAGGTCTTTCGTCAAAAATGTTCCTGAATGCTCCGGACGCTCCCATGCAAACTCTGCATATTTCCTCCATCCTCCTGCAAGCAAAATAATGTTAATAAATAGAGTACAAAAATGTACATACAATTGAGTGCATATCAAACCCACAAGGAACCAAATCGTGAAGTTGTCGGAGCTCCAAAATAATCTGTTTGTTTTGTTTTGCGAAAATGAACGAAATGTTATGGTTTAGACACCAGCTATCGGATTTATCAATGTGGGTACTCCTGTAATTACATTTAACTCTGAACTGATTTGCACATCACTTTAAATAAATTTAATGTAGTCAATTGTAGCAGACTGTTTTGTCAATTGAGCTGAAAAACATGGATGGTTCTGCCCTGATTCATGCAGACTCCGGTTTCAGCCAAAACGTTTTTTTTTATCGTTTTTAGGTGCTCCCCTTTTCAAGAATTTTTGGTAAACAAAAACAGCTGACCGATTATTTAGTAAACATATATCATGTTAAAAATGGCGTTTTATATTTTAATTGTTTTGGAACAAAGCGACGACAGAAGTTGCGTGATTTAAGAAAATCAAGACATCTTAGATGCAATACCTGTGTATTTGAAATCTCTGACAAACTGTGAGTAGCAACATGCAAATTTAAGAAACATCTACAAACCTAATTTCGACATTATTTTGAAAAAAGTTTAGCCCCGTCTGGGTGTTACCTCAAAGTTAATATGTTGCACTTGCATTTTGAAGTCCGATAACCGAAGCACCCTGTTATTCTTTTTTGTTCTGGTTATTAACCGACCTCAGAGGAAACCGAATCAAGTTTATGTGGTAGTCTAGTCTTTATTCTAGCGACGATTAACCGGCACCTTAGCCCGAAGTCGAGAAACCGGCCCTAAATGATTTAAAAGTTACAGTAAAGAGGATAGTGGAAAACATTGAACTTAAAGATGTTGTTTTCCACCAGGAGCAATCGTATCGACCAGAGTTCTTACTGATGCGATCTCGAAGAGTGCCGGAATAGCAAACTTGTCGTTTCTGCTGTAACATATACAATAGGTGTCTTTGGTAGCTTTGCTATTGTTTTTATATCCAAAAGTCTTTGAGCAATGGGTGCACTTATAAGGACGCTTAGTTAGACATTTTATTTAAATGACTTTGAGCAGTGAGAAAATTGGTCGGCTCGTCACTCGTGTTGCGAACGAATGTGTTTTCTAAAAGTAGATTCCTGCGTGAAGGTTTTTGAGCAGTGATTGCATTGGTAGGGTCGTTCTCCTGTGTGCGTACGGATGTGTTCCTTGAGATGGTATTTTTGTATAAAAGACCTTGAGCATTCAGTGCATTTGTAGGGTTTTTCACCCGTGTGCGTACGAATGTGCACATTGAGATTGGTTACTTGCGTGAAGGTTTTTGGGCAGTGAGAGCATTTGTAGGGTCTTTCTCCTGTGTGGGAGAATACGTGTGAGGTAAGATGGGCGAGTTGTTTGAATGATACCTCGCAGTGAGGACACTTGTACGGTCGCACCCCCGTGTGAATACGGCTGTGTCCGATGAGCTGGGCTTTCAGTTTAAATGACTTCGAACAGTGGGCGCAGTAGAATGATCGCTCATCTGTGTGAGTACGGATGTGAGTCCGAAGAATTCTGGATTGAGAGAATGACTTCGCGCAGTGTGGACACGTGTACGGTCGCTCCCCAGTGTGGCTATGGCTGTGTTCACTGAGGTGGTATTTTCTTTGAAAGGATTTTGGACAGACGGAGCATTTGAAGACTCGTTTACAATTATCACTGTTATTGCTATCATCTTGATGTTTCGATTGCTCAGTTCTGTCATCTGACTGTGGCGAATCCTCGTCTTGTTCCTTGTCCTCGTCTATCAGCGAGAAAAAGAGTTTATGGCTCTGCTCGTAGGTGGACTTAAGATTGAAGGCACTCATAGCATCCTCCAGGCAAGGCGGACATATGTTTTCTGGTAGCAAATCTCCTCTCTTAACCACGTACCCTGTGCACTGCGATATCATGTCACCAATGCACGTATCCATTGTTGGTCTTTCGTCAAAAATGTTCCTGAATTCTCCGGACGTTCCCATGCAAACTCTGCATATTTCCTCCATTCTCCTGCAAGCAAAATAATGTTAATAAATAGAGTACAAAAATGTACATACAATTGAGTGCATATCAAACCCACAAGGAACCAAATCGTGAAGTTGTCGGATCTCCAAAATAATCTGTTTGTTTTGTTTTGCGAAAATGAACGAAATGTTATGGTTTAGACAATAGTTATCGGATTTATCAATGTGGGTATTCCCGTAATTAAATTTACACTTTGAACTGATTTGCATATCAATTTTAATCAATTTAATGTAAAGTATTCAATGGAAAAATTCTCTGTTATAATATTAACTATTTTAGCAGACTGTTTTGTCAATTGAGCTGGAAAACATCGGTGGTTCTGGTGCGAAAAATCAGAAAACATCGATGTCACCAATAGACCGTTCTATCGATATTTTGTCCAGCTGTATAATCAACAGGCTATTGACAAAGTCGCAGGCGCTGCGACTGTGATTAGCCAGATTCCGTCGACTATATAGTTCATATACTAGCGCACTGCACCGATGTGTGTATAAGTAACGTACATATATAGAAATACATATATGCGCGCTGCTGCCGTCGCCGTCGTCGTCGTCGTGGCTTCCACTTTAACTAAATAAAACAAATTAAGCGCTGGCCGCGCAGTCGTTGTCGTCGTCTACTTCGCGGTGCATGTAAAACAGTGAGCGAGAAAACGTGTACAGAAGCAAACTAAAGAGTGAAAGAAGAAAACAGGAAGAGGCGCATCTGTAAATCCGATCGTGTGTATAATCATTACACATCACATCCGTTGCACGGTAAGAAATGAGTTTTCAACCATTGCCCCACCCGAACGGGGCAATTTTTGGGGCCAATGCCAGGCCACGCGCAGCCGAAATCCATTAATTAATTGATATTTTATACACGCCATGAGCGCCGTCGCATTGATGGTCAAGGTTACAACGCAGCACACACACACACACACACACACCCAAGAGTGTGTTTCTTTTGAGTGCGAGTGAAGCAAATGGCCCGAGAAGTTGGAGAGAAAGAGAGTTTAAAGTTCAGTACCTGTTGCTTCTATCGCTCTCTCTCCCTCTATCGGACATCTGTTGCCCAAAATCTGTTACTAGTTCGTTCTCGCTCTGACGTGCGCTGTCCAGCCAGGCTTACACGGTCTCTCTGGCTCTGACCCTCTCGCTCTGGTGCACTGTACGGTCTCTGGCGCTTGGAATATCGCGTGTAATTCTCTTTAATAACTTTTTTATTACGACTTTAATATTTTTGTCGGTTGTGCTATTATTCTACATGATCAATTCCATCTTGATTGAATGTAATTACGTAATCGTAGAGGCGTAACATTTCCCTCTTGTCAGCTGTCGCCATTGAGAAAAACAGCTGTAGATAAGATGTACGTTCCTCAGGGATGTGCTACAGTGTGTGCTCGATAGCTGTAATATGTACTGATAGCGAATATATCTTTAGGGTCGAGAGATTATTTATCATAGAAAAAGTCTACACGTCGAAAAGATACCGGACTTATCGCCTGTTGATGCTGATAAAAAATGTATCATATCACTTATGATAATCGTATGCTAATAATATAATAAAATTGCAAGACATTTCTGTTGGGGTCTCAGCTATCTGCCAGCTTAGTCATAGACCTTTCAAACAAGCAAACTAATTACACTTGATTAAGGTCTTAAGCGATTCGAAAATCATATGGAAAGTTCCTTGCTCTGCTAATAACATAATATATGAATTTTGACATACGTTGAGGCCATTTTAGCTCTGAACAGACATTAATTAGACTGCACTTGACATTGAAATTAAAAGGGCTAATTAGTGGAGGCCAGATATGGGTCATATCTTTCTTAATTTACGTTTAATATGGCGTTAATTTTGGTGCATAAACCTTTTTCTAGGGAATTAAATTAACTCTAAATGTGACTAAAAATTTGCTCCTGATAAGACACCGATCCACTTGTTTTTTATGTGTATACTAAAAACTGCCAAGTCATGCTTACTGAACAAGTTTTCTGTGACGATCGGAATATAGCATCGTGTAGGTGTCGGAACCGATCTGATCCGAATTGAAGTTCGGGGACGTGCCCGAACAAATTGCGACTGTCATTCTGGCTAAGGGATTTTCTCGCCTACGAAGCAAAAGATTCCGTGCAATGCTTTCTCACCATTATCGCGTGAATACTTTGGTCAGTATTTGTAGCTACCAACTACTACTACTACCACTTACTAGTAAAAGCCTGTGTAGCGTTAGTATTGCATTTGTTTTTACTGTAGAATGACTCAATTATTGTGTGGGCAAGTGATTTGATTGACTTCTGTTTGTTGGAATAATAAGCACAACTATTTGGCCATGACTCAAAGTAAATTGTGTGGAAATGGCGTTAAAGAGCCAAATAGCATGGAATTTAATGCATTCCAGATTAAATTAGTGTGGAATTTTCACTTTACAGCTAGAATAGAATCTCTTAAGTGTGTGCACAGTCTTAAAATAGTTCTGAATGCATTCCCTACCAGAAGATTATTTTTACGCGCTCTCCGTGGAAAAAATAAATTGATTGGCACGTGTACGAGTCAGCTACACATCTTGTTTTTATTCAGTAATATGATTGATTGATTTAGTAGCTGTATGTATACACATATATAGTATGTATCATTAATGTGCCATTTTGTTCTAAGCTTCAAGTCAATTCAAGTCCCGATTTGAATCAAGATAGGATAAAGTGTGATTTATTATTAAGCCTAGCTCTAATGCGGATTGGTTCCCCATGGTTTCTCCTCTTCTCTTCCTGATTATCTTATCGTATTCTCCAGCTAATACCCTATCTTCCGTTCAGGCCTAAGAATGACTTTCTTCTTTATCTTCAGTTCTCATCTTTAGCTTGTAACACCATGCTCTGCTGCTGATTTTATTCATCATTATTCATATATTCATTGATTCTTACATGGTATATTCTTTCCCATCTTCACTTTCATCGCATCTAAATTGCTAATTGTGTCTGAATGACCCTTAAAAAGTTCTGTTATTCGCGCTTTCTTCTGTAAGGCGGATGTTATTCTGGGCGTTAAATTATAGCCAGCTGGACATGTTTACTCTCTTTTCGCTCTGTTTTCCAAACAATCTTCACTTTCATTCAAAATAATGAACCAAATTCTCATCTCTCTTGATATCTTCTGTAGTATTTCTGTTCCCCAAAAACCCCTTTATTCATACCACTTTTATTCCTGATATCGTCACACTTTGTCTTTGGAAGTCTGACCTATAAAAATCCAACAGTTTGCCTACACTTGCCGCTTGGATTTTGCTTCATTGTGATTGAAGCCACAAGCACCTTTCGAATACACCAAATCAGAAGCTCGGAATCGGATGGTGACTGTGACGACGACGACGACGACGACGGCACTACTATTCCCTGCCTGATTTGCATGTGGCACCGCATCGCCTAATCGCCAGCAGGGGTTTGACTGTCTGTCTGGCACATGTTTAATATTTATTTTTTTGCCATTTGCTGACCACAGCAACAAGAACAACGAGAACTGTGCGCTGTACGCGTCAAAGTATTACGCGCTCCGGCTGGGCTGCTTCGCTTCTCTATGCAAAGTAGAGGAATACACGTCGTATACCCGACGTACACACACGTACGCCCCGACTTGTGGCTGGCGGCGCATTAGTAACATTAAAGTATTAAGTCAATTCCGAATTCAAGGTGCCCAACACTTGAGGTTTTACGTCCACTTCTACGACAGCGACTGCACAACATGCTCGAAATATAATACTATATACAAAAGATCGGGTCAAATCGGGTCAAACTTCGACTCCAGCTGCAATATAAATATACGGAAACATGTAGGGAAATGTGTTTTGAACGCTTTTTAGATTTATTTTCGAACTTAAGAAGCGGAAAGTGTTACAGCAAGCGAGATACTTCATAGATGGGGTTCATAGTTGATAGATAGTATGGATGATTTCTGAAGGGATACAAGGTTTATATAAGGAGTTTGAACGATGTAAAGTAGGTAAATGATAAATATATCAAATATATACAAATATCTATCAATGCTTTACAGAGGTTTTGAAAGTAGGTACATGATAACTATATCAATCTTCTTTATAATAGTGGCAAAAACACACCTCTTTCACGATTTACGGGTGTTTCGCAAGGCATTGTAATATTACAAACAAAAATTAATATAGCTTGACATCACGGAAATCTTCAATCCAAGATTGTTTCCCTATCTCGCACAGTCCCTCAAGATACAGGTCTCTGTGGAGACAAACAAATGGACATGTCTTGAACATAAACCACTTTATAAGGTCGTAAATGTTTGGCAAAGTTTCGATTGCAAGAAACATTTGTTGTTTTCATCATATCAACACATCGCTTCGCCTCGCGTCGCTTTCCTCACGGGCTTTTGGCCCCGTCCGATAAGCGTTTTGTGAATAAAACCTGTTGCTGGCCAACAAACAGTTAACAGTTCTCTGTTTAGCGTCGCGTGCGACTGTCGCTCTCTACGTATCGCCAAATGAAATTAGTATTTTTTTAATTGCAATAACTGCAAATTGTGTTAGACGTGCGGCAGTGCCACAATAAAAGTAGAAAACAACAAAAAAACAGGTACAAAATAATATTCAAGGTGCAATCGATTAAAATCGCGATACGTTTTCAATGTCGATCGAAACAAAAGAAAGAGATAGCCAGAGGAGATACAGAGGGAGAGAGAAAGAGAGAGTACCGTTAAAACAAGTGCGGAAGCAAGTACCGTTAGATGCAAAGCAGCTGACAGTCAGCCAGCCTGTAGAATGGAATCGCATCATTCCGTTCAATTGTGGGTCTGTGTGTGTGTGGCTGTCTCTATTCCGATGTGTGGTGTGTGTGTGTGTGAGTTTAGTGTTTCGCGGGTTACGTGGCATACATTAAAATGCGTGTCCAAAGTACGGCACAGGCATAGGCAGATGCAAATCGAAACCACAACAAATGTTATGCAAAGCGAACTAAAACCCCGCGACGATACGATACGCAGAACAGCAGAGCAGAGCAGAGCAAAAAACTAAACTAAACGCCATGAATGTTGTGCCCTTTTTGCAGTCGAACTTGTGTCACCCAAATGGCTAGTGAGCAGACAATGGAGGGAGCAGCCGCTGAGGCCGTGGCTGCCGGAGACGAACCCTTTCTGGGACTCCTCGATGTGGCACTGCTTGCGGTCCTGATTGGAGGAGCAGCCTTTTACTTTCTGAGAAGCCGCAAGAAGGAGGAGGAGCCCACTCGCAGCTATTCCATACAGTGAGTATCTAGAGGATCCTCCATTCACAAATTCAATTCTAATCCTCTCCTGATTGCAGACCCACGACAGTATGCACCACCAGTGCTGCCGATAATTCGTTCATCAAGAAGCTCAAGGCCTCGGGACGCAGTCTCGTCGTCTTCTACGGCTCTCAGACCGGCACTGGCGAGGAGTTTGCCGGCCGTCTGGCCAAGGAGGGCATTCGCTATCGTCTCAAGGGCATGGTTGCCGATCCCGAGGAGTGTGATATGGAGGAGCTGCTGCAGCTGAAGGACATCTCCAACTCCCTGGCTGTGTTCTGCCTGGCCACCTACGGCGAGGGCGATCCCACGGACAATGCCATGGAGTTTTACGAGTGGATAACAAATGGCGATGTCGATCTATCTGGTCTTAATTATGCGGTGAGTACTGATAAAAACAGAACCCCGTTCGGTGCTATCTAAACAAACGCCGATTACATGAGTCTGTCTGGCCTTCAAACGGGGCCAAATATCAACGCCGTCGGCGGCTGGGCTTATCGAACACTGCCCTATTGATAAGGAGGCACCACCAACAGCTCCTATAGCCCCCAACTACTGTTTTTGGTGTCTATTTTCGTTCGTTTGTGTTATTTTTTTTCGCGGGTTTCCACGTGTGTCCGCCGAGTGTTTTGTTTGTTGTTGATATCCCCGATTCACAGCGGTTGTAACGCTCCTAATGGCATTTCCGTGTAATTCAATTCGGTGGAAGTATCACTGGATTACCAGATGATGTGTCAAACTTTGTTTTAAGCTGCTAAACTTGTTTGCTCAATGATTATCACAATGCGATTCGTAGTTATCCGTGCGTGTGAATCATCTAATTTTATTAGGAAGTGCGACTTTTCTTTACCTTGATTGATTCTACTCCTTAATCGAATGTGTAATGCCCAATTTGGGGCTAATTTTAGGCTGAATATATTTCGAACTGAATTTTTATTACTTCAAAAACATGTTTATACCAAAATTCCTATAATTTTTCCATGAGCTCTTAAAAAATGAGACAAACTATTCTATTAAATTCTATTATTCAGTATGAGCACTGAATTTTGAATTACCTTACTGAAACGAACTGTAGCTATCGCTATCAAGCCCCCTTTTTTTCAAGATTACACTTTCCGCGATTAAAGTCTAGCCTGTCTTTAGCTATTAAAAACAACTTTTAATACAGTACGTGTGAGATTATGCTTAGTCTTGAAATAACTTATCAGCTAACGCCCAGTTTCACAAAACATTATAATCTAAATTAAATTTAAATCCGACTAAACCCGCCAACTTGTTATCGATGCTCATAAACTCGCTATCGTTGCTCATTGTAGATGGCGCTAGTTCATTATGCCATAGCAAATAGCTTTTGTAAGTGAGCAGTTTTTCGGGCATATTTAGTACATTTCTGCACACAATGTGCTCGCACGCCACCGCCGTCCACCGCCGTTGTTTGTTTAAAATTTGAATTAAATGGGGAATAATAGATAATGTAACGCCCCACACCCACCTGTTGATCCGATCATCATGCTAAACACGTTGGCTGCCGTTTCCGCTTGTGGCCTTGGCACGTGCCGGCCCCAGAGGCTGCGATTTTTGCGCGGCCTACTTTATAGTTTATGTAATAAAACAAAAAGGCTTCACAGACAGACGCAATATGCGGTAATACCTAATCGCCTAAGTACATACAAAGATCGTACGTAATGCCACATACACCGTCTATAATTGCCCGTGTTTCACTTTGCGACCTTAGGTCTTTGGACTGGGAAACAAAACGTACGAGCACTACAACAAGGTGGCCATCTATGTGGACAAGCGGCTGGAGGAACTCGGCGCCAACCGGGTCTTCGAACTGGGACTGGGCGATGATGATGCCAAGTAAGTTCTAGCCTGAGCCAAGGTCCTTTTATGGCCATTCTCATTCACCAATTTTCCCTTCCAGCATTGAGGATGACTTCATCACATGGAAGGATCGCTTCTGGCCAGCCGTTTGCGATAACTTTGGCATTGAGGGCGGCGGCGAGGAGGTGCTGATACGCCAGTACCGTCTGCTGGAACAGCCCGATGTCCAGCCCGATAGGATCTACACGGGAGAGATTGCCCGCCTGCACTCGATGCAGAACCAGCGGCCACCCTTCGATGCCAAGAATCCCTTCCTGGCGCCCATCAAGGTCAATCGGGAGCTGCACAAGGGCGGCGGACGGTCGTGCATGCACATCGAGCTGAGCATCGACGGCTCCAAGATGCGCTACGATGCCGGTGATCATGTGGCCATGTATCCCATAAACGACAAGAGCCTCGTGGAGAAGCTGGGACAGCTTTGCAATGCCGATCTGGATACGGTGTTCTCTCTGATCAACACAGACACGGACAGCAGCAAGAAGCATCCATTCCCCTGCCCCACCACCTATCGCACGGCCCTGACCCACTACCTGGAGATCACTGCCATTCCACGCACACACATTCTCAAGGAATTGGCGGAATACTGCACAGATGAGAAGGAAAAGGAGCTGCTGCGCAGCATGGCCTCCATTAGTCCGGAGGGCAAGGAAAAGTACCAGAGCTGGATCCAGGATGCCTGTCGCAATGTGGTCCACATTCTGGAGGATATCAAGTCCTGCCGGCCGCCAATCGATCATGTCTGCGAGCTGCTGCCGCGCCTTCAGCCACGCTACTACTCCATCTCATCGTCGGCCAAGCTGCATCCGACCGACGTCCATGTCACGGCTGTTCTGGTCGAGTACAAAACGCCCACGGGCCGTACGAACAAGGGTGTGGCCACCACCTACCTGAAGAACAAGGTGCCGAACGGCAGCGAGGAGGTGAAGGTGCCCGTCTTCATCCGGAAATCGCAGTTTAGACTGCCCACGAAGCCAGAGACTCCTATTATCATGGTGGGACCGGGCACGGGATTGGCTCCCTTCCGCGGCTTCATCCAGGAGCGACAGTTCCTGCGCGATGAGGGCAAGACTGTGGGCGAGTCGGTGCTCTATTTCGGCTGCCGCAAGCGCAGCGAGGACTACATCTACGAGTCCGAGCTGGAGGAATGGGTCAAGAAGGGCACGCTCAATCTCAAGGCGGCCTTCTCCCGAGACTCCGATAAGAAGGTCTATGTGCAGCATCTGCTGGAGCAGGATGCGGATCTGATATGGAATGCGATTGGCGAGAACAAGGGACACTTTTACATATGCGGGTGAGTTTGGTGCTAAGGGAACCCGTTTAAACTGACTTTTGACCTTTCATTTGTTCCCCCAATCTATTTGCAGTGACGCCAAGAACATGGCCGTGGACGTTAGGAACATTTTAGTGAAAATTTTGTCCACCAAGGGTAACATGAGCGAGGCCGACGCCGTGCAGTATATCAAGAAGATGGAGGCCCAGAAGCGCTACTCCGCCGATGTCTGGAGCTAATCGGAGAGATTGAGAGAGAGAGAGTCTTTCCTTTCCACAAAGCAAACATAGAGTCGAAACACGCATAGAAAATCAAATGGAAACCATCATAGGCCACACGATAAGCTTAAAGTTGTCTAGTTCGTTAAGCGTAAATAGGCGTAATAATTTTTGGTTTGGGAACTCCTTCTGCGGTTCAACAAACAGTGAATGAGTAATGATTACGTATATGTAAATCTAGTTTAAATGATTATAATCCGATGTGGAAATTGTGTAATGATGATGCATGAGCACGAGCGTAATCAAGTTATTGTTGTAAGTAGTTTTTGTATGTGTGTGCAATTATTAATTTAAAACACATTTTTACAAGCATTTTATATTGTATTCTCTTGGTGATTTCAATACAAATACGAGACATGTTGTGCAATTTTATCAATGACACTGAAATTGTATTTTCACAAATAAACAAATAAAAAAACAAAGTCAAAGAATAAAAAAAAGATTTTTAAACCGTCTGTTTAAAATGCGATATCATATGATCGATAAGTCAGAGCTGCATTCACATAGAATAAGCCAGTTAAGTAGAAAATTGATTCATACATAGTATAAAACTATGCTGGCATGGCTTAATGTTCTATTTAGCTAGTAATATTTAACGGAATCTCTAAATTGAGGAATATGGTTTCCAATCCTCGACCGAGAACGATTAACACACTGCACGCCAAGGAGTATTTTAATAATCCACCGAAAATAATGACAATTTTATAATTTTAGTGGAGTTCAGGTGAAAGTAAGCATTGTTATTTCTACCTTGGGATGAAAGATGGCATATTTTCCGCCCTTTACCTGAAGTAGTTGAACTATTTAAATAGAGGTGGCTGAAGTGGGCTAGGTTCGTTTTTTCATCATAACGAGACGCTATATTGTTGTTGAGTAACAAAAACAGCAATCGCCGTAGCAAGAAAACAAGTCAAGTATTTAAATAAGCCAGTCAAGTAGAATATTGATTCATTAATGGAATTAAATTATGTGGGCAATGCTGAGAGATCCATCTAGATAAAAATATGCGACGGAATATCAAAAACGAGGAATATGTATGGTAGAACTTGAATTCGTCAGTATATTTACGGTATATTTTGGTATATCTGAGGGTCACACTGAATAAGAGCTGGCGTTCACACTGAAAAAACGGTAAATGCAAATTTGGAGGGAAAACAACAAAATAAAAGTTTAAACATTGGAAGTGAAGTGCAAAAAGTGATATTTAAGGTGTTTCAAGTACAATTTAAGATAAGCACAATCGTCTAAACGTATTTTGTAACAAGTAAGTGCTAGAATTAGTTTAATCTAAGACCCCAGCCCGCTCGAAATGCGGCAAAGTGTAGCGCAAAGTCTCCCGCAGACGCTTGGACTCGAACATTTGTCTGACCTTCTGTTTGGCGAAGTTTGCGTCCGTGAAGTTCTCCAGATTGTTGTCGGCTGTTTGGGACTTGTCCTGGCTGACGGTGGGGAATATGCCATAGCTGGCAAAGAACCCGTAGCACTCGCGACGGTGTACCTCTTCCAGTATTTGCTCGTAGCTGGGCACCGGGATGCCCAGGTCTAGGTTCAGCAGCGTCTCTGAGAGGCGCGTGTGGTAGGTGCGCAGCAGCATGGGCCGATTGTGCCGCAGCACTTCCAGGCTGAGGCTGGTGTAGAAGAAGTAGTTCAGATCGATGCCCGGGCTGCCCCAGACGCTCAGCTGGAAGTCAATGAAAATCAGGTCCTGGGGTCGTTTGGCGTTGTCGTATTTGAAAAGCAGGTTGTTGACCCACAGGTCGCCGTGGTTGAGCACCCTGATCTCCTTGGCCTGCAGCGCCTGGGCGCGCACCAGATTTGACCGTTGGTTCTTCATGTACTTGCCAATCTTTTCGGCAATGCGCTCGTAGCCAGGCCAGGAGCTCACCACGGTGTGCAGCTCTTCTCCGTTGTCCGCAAAGAAGCGCATCAGCATGCCATCGTCCTTGGCCAGGCCGTTGGGGGACAGCATGCCATCGCTATAGGCCTCAAAGATATGCGGATCCAGGACGGCCAGGGCCATGGAGGTGGCATGGAACTCGGCCAGACGTTCCATAACCAAGCGGCAGTGCTCCTCATTTAGGCCCGATTCGCGGGAGGCCATCACAAAGCCGGAATGGCCGAGATCCTCAAACACCAGCGTGTTCTCCGGCTGCTTAAGGCACTGAAAGAGTCTGCAAAACGGAATAAGATACGGAATTTGCCTTGTTCTGATCTGCTTACTTGGGTCCGAAGCGCCGCTTGCATTTCATAAGCAGCTCCAGGCGGGGCAGCACATCGTGATACGTGACCTTCTCCTTCAAGTACACCTGCAGATCCTCAATGAACTCCACCGACTCCACGCGCGGTATGCTCTTCACAATGAACATCATGTGCTGGTCCGCCTGGCCGGGCAGCCGGTACACCACCTTTGTCCGATAGATCTGACTGCAGTAGTTCTCGCCGGTGCTGCTGCCCATGCGAATGTGGATGCTCAGCAGCTGGACCCCCCTGGCCGTCCGCAGGGCCGTCTCCAGAACCTCCTCAAAGAAGGCCACATCCAGATGCTTGGGCGGAGCGGCCACTTCCGCATCATACTCAATGCTGCACATTTTGTGATCGTTTGAAAAGCTCTGAGCTGGGGCCCCTCTATTTTATATACGACAGAGACACAGTCGCAGCTACTGTTTCCACTGTTTCTGCTTCCAATTCCCAATTAATTATAGTTATATGCTTTTTTACATGAGAGTATAAATTCTCTTAATAGGCGTCAACTTGTTTAATTTTCGATATGCTCAAACACGCAACACTCGCGAAACCCGCAGGCGGCCTTTTTCATTCGGTTTTGGGTAGTAATTCGATTTCCTGAATTCAGTTTTCGTTAAACAGCAGCTTTTTCGCATCACCCTCGCTCTGAGCGATTGCTGGCTATAGCTTTCATTCGGACTGATTGACAGACGACGATTATCTTATCAAGCCTCGGAGCAGCGTATTTGAATTATATTAATCGGTATTACAGAGTTCTGTATATGCTTTATATTATATATGGGGAGCGCCCTATAGATAAATGCCTGCACGAATTAAAACCGATTCATTTTATACGTATTCTCTGAATTACAACTCTCGGTAGAGGAGTAGCATCTAGTCTATTATTTGTATTCCCTAAAGATTTGATTAGATTAGATTTTTGTTACTACGGAAACAATACAAAAGGATCCCTCTTTTATTTTGATAATAATTATTATTATTAGAATTTAAAAAAAGAAAACAAATTTGATTAAATTTGTAGATAAATTAAAATTAATAATGCGGAGCGCTAGCATCATGGCCTTCGCTACAGGTGGAATCTATTGGAGTGTTGAGGGCTGTACACTCGTTTTTTATGAGTAATCTTAACAAATCTCCAGAAAATATAATTTCTGTGCTCCATTATTCATTAAAAGGGAAATTAGGCTGTATTTCAGCCATTTAATCACGTTTCTTTAACACTTATGGCACTATACTACACATATTTTACACTATTTCAAAATGAAATATTTAAAATTTTTTTTTAAATTAAAATTAAAATTGTATTTTAAAATTACATTTATTACATTAAAAATTTATAGGCATATTTTATAAATTATTTGCTACAATTCCCCCTTTTAGAGGGAGTAAAAATTCATAACCATTTAAGGATTGTTTATTTTTAGAAATAAATATGCAAATTTATAGGTAATTATCCCCTCATGGGAACCATGTGAAAATCTGTTGATTATATTTTTAAGTAATAACCAAATTTCTATATTTCTTATAATTTATAAATTTGTTGCCATTATCTTGTATTTCATATAATTTTATCAATTTTGCTGCCATTATCTGCATGCAATGTGGCGTTATTCTCGTTGGTGATTTTGTTTGTCTTAATACCTGTATGATCTCATACAATATATAACAAAACAATTTAGTTAAAGCGTCAAGCGACAGCAAACAGAATGTGAATAGACGTTTGATTAGATGGCAATCAGGTCTGTCGAATTCTTTATTCAATTTGCGAAAGGGTGGCGGCAGTAATTTATAAATAACTGCGATCGTTCAGTCGAACAATTGCATCTCATCCAGGCGCTTCAGCGTGCACTTCAAGCTCTCCAGCGTTCGAGCATTTCCCTCGAACATCAGTTGCACCTTTTTTCGGGCAAAGGTCTCGTCGTGAAAGTTCTTCAGGGAGTTATCCTCCGAATCGATCCCGATCATGCTCATCAGCGGAAAGAAACCAAAGGCCACAAAGAAGCCATAGGCCTCGCGGGCCCGTATCTCCGCCATGACGGCGTCATAGGTGGGCAGTGGCTTGGACCAAGGAATCTGCTCCAAACACCCAACCAAGGCCTCGTAGTAGATGTCGATGAGGCGCTGACGCTGTGTACGGAGTACCTCCAGCTCCAGGCTGGTGTTCAGAAAGTAGTTGATGTCGAAGCCCAGGCTCCCATAGAAACAAAGCTGAAAGTCGATCTGCAAGTGGGATATAAGTACTCTTAAAGAGGGGCTCTTTCGAAGGTAACACTGATTCACTTACAATCTTCACCTGCTCCACTTTGTATTCCTGATTGTATTTAAAGAATATATTGTTCACCCACAGATCGCCGTGGTTTAGGACATTCAGATCTCCCCTCAACGGATACACCGACTTGAGGATCCGCTCTGTAAAGTGCTCGTGGTAGCGATAAAGCTTTGAGGTTATTGCACCAAATCCCTCGCTATCGCTCACGAGGGCTGCCAGTTTCAGGAGCTGTGTGCCGAAAAGCAGCTTGAAAGGCTCCGACTTGATGGCGTCCATGTGCAGGAGTCCAAAGGGATAGCGGTCGATGATGGTCTCTGGCTCGTGTTCGGCCATCACCATGGTTAGGGCATGGTATTGGGCTAGTTTTCGCATCACCAGCGTGGCGTGATCCATGTCCAGGCCTAGTTGACGGCATTTCAATTGGTATCCCTCGGAGCAGAGGTCCTCAAAGATGATGGTCTGCTCGGGCTGAGTGGTGGAGTAGTAGTGTCTGCAAATAAAAGGAAATCAATGGATTTGCATGAGCGAAAGCCTCCATCTCAGGTCTCACCTGGCGCCCAATGTCCAGGGCTCTGTGGCATCGTCTCTGCCCCACATGAGCGTCTCCAGCTTTGGTTTGATGTGCATATAGAAGATGCTCTCCTTGTTGTAGATGTGCAGCCTGGCCAGAATGGCCTGCTTCTCGTCCGGCATCGACTTCACAATCAGCGATGTCTCCACATTCCTCCCCTCCGCATTCTTATACTTGATGGAGGCCCTGTAGATGTTGCTGCAGTAGTTCTCCCCGCCACGCGTCAGATTTGTCAGATGGACCTCGAGGACCTTTAGGTCCTGCTGCTGCAGGCCGTGCTCGAGAGTGCGCCTGAAGAACTGTGGTGTTAAATACAGCGGCAGCTGCTCCTCCGTTGTGTCCGACATGGTGCTTCAATATGCCATGGATCGGTGCATTATTCATGGTCTTATATGTGAAATCTCATCGATGTTTCCAACTGATTTCTGTTTCTTCTAATTGATTTTAATGGGTTCGGGGCATTGGGGCACTGGACCTGCCATCAATTGGCTTAATGGAAGTGCATTTTCTGTTGGGATTAGCGGTGCGGTTTTTTGATCAACTGAAGCTATAATGAAGATGACTGAAGAGAAGCGATTGATGCATAAGAAAGAGTTATATTTATGAAAAGAGTCTGTGCAAACATTTGCACTTAGAGATTAATCAATTGTTGGGTCATCTGGGCATCTAGAAAAGTATTCTCTGGAAAGAGCATACTTGCATTTCGATTTGGATTTAGTTAAGGAAGCATTTACATTGTTCTTGGAAAAGGTTTAACATTCGAGTTTGTTGGTACGGTAAAAAACTTTCCTTCACTATAAATAAACAGATAAACAGAAAAATTTCATAATTTCTCGTATGAAAACGGGACCCTAGAGTCGTTTTAACATTTCTTTTAAATTAGGGAGCAGTCCAAAATGGGCTTTCTGTTTGAAAGCATTCCCTGGAGCGTCTCAGCCGTGTATCTATCTGCCCAGTCATGCACACGGCTTTTATGTTGCTTGTGCAATTCTCGGGCATTCGCATTTGTACCATTCTGTCGTGCGTGTCGAGCATCAAAGTGCCTCGTCATAGGGGAGCGAAGGAGTCAGCTGGGAGCAAGGACGTAGAATAAAAGTGGTATGTTTTTCTTGATAGTCCTCTAAAAAGCCAGCTCTCACACTTGGACCAAGATTTAGCAAAGTTTTATTGGGTTTGTGCTATCTTTGAATTTTCCACTTCATATCATTCGCTTTATCATGATATTGTAATATGAAAAATACCCAATGCTACCACTGATATCTGCTGATAGGAAACCCCCCATTAAAATAGTTTTTAAATTCCATTACAGAATCCAATTTCATTGGATTCGTTTATTGAAATCCACTTCTACAGTATAGAGACTTGTAGATACTTCTACTCAAAATCTACAATATGCAGGCTGCTCTGTTGTACAGATGTGGTGCTCGGTGCCATCATATCCGTGTATATCTTTTATCACAATAATTAGTGAATGCCTAACCCGAATGGAAAGAAAACTCCTCCGTCTAGTAGTCCCCAAAGACACCGAGCGTATCGAAACGCTTGAGGGCCCATTTCTGGTAGTCATTGAGAGCCTTTTGAGCAAAGATGGCATCCAGTTTCTTTTGCATGAAGGCCTCATCCTGCATGTTGTCGATGCTGTTGTCCGAGGACAACTCCTTGGGCATGGTGATCATCGGGAGGAAGGCAAACAGGGCAAACAGACCGTAGGTCTCGCGGCTACGCAGCTCGTAGAGCAGATCCTCGTAGGTGGGAATGTGCTCGAAGCGTGCGTACTCCAGGGCATCCCGAAAGGCCTTGTAGTACACCTTGATGAGCTCCTCGCGACGCTCCTGCACCAACTCGAACTTGAGGCTGGTGTTCAAGAAGAAGTTCAGATCGCAGCCGGGACTGCCGTAGAAGGACAGCTGGAAGTCGACAAAGATGGCACGCGTGGGCACCTCTGGCTGATCCTTGTTGTCGTAGCCGTACATGAAGTTGTTGGTCCACATGTCGCCGTGATTGAGCACCACATAGCGATCGCCGGCCTTGGGCTTTGAAGCCGCTACACACACATTCCTGAAATTGTCACTCAAGCGCTGGAGATGTCCGCTGATGTGCTTGTAGCCGGGCCATCCGGCAGAGCTCTTGATGAGACCCTTGAGGAAGTCACCAAACATGTTCTCAAAGGTGTCGCTCTTCATGAGGATATCCTCGCTGAGCATGCCGCGCGTGTACTGCTTCACAATCTCTGGATCCTAACGAGGAAAGATATCTGATTAGAAATTCCTTTGTATATATGATGTGAAGACTCCGTTACCTTATTGGCCAGCACCATGGAAGTGGCATGGAATTTCCCCAGTTGCTGCAGAATGAGCGAGGCATGGTTAAAGTCGAGTCCTGACTCGCGTGAAGCCACCTTGAAGCCCTCCACCTTCAGGTCGCTAAAGACAATCGTCTGCACGGGACCCTTTACAGAATGGTAGTATCTAAGGAAAGAGTTACAGAACGTCAATTGGAACAGAACTTTCTGGGTGAAAAACTTTCACTCACTTGGCACCAAACTTGTCGCCGCGACTGAGAATATCCAATCGTGGCAGAATGTCAGTGTAGGTCTGCTTCTCCTTGATGAAAACACTGACATCCTCGAGGAACTGTGTGGCCTCTGTGATCGGAATGGTCTTGACAATCAGGGAAAGCTGCTCCTTCTTCTCGGACTCCTTGTTATCCGACCACTTGGCGAATGTCACCAGAACGCGATAGATGGCCGAGCAGTAGTTATCACCCGGATTGCTGCCCCACTCAAAATTGATTTCCTTGAGGGTAACCTTAGTCTCCCGCAGACCCTCTTCCAGAGTTTCCGTAAAGAACTGCTCGTTGAGGTACTCGGGCACCGAAATCTTTTGCTTATTATTTATGACCACCATTTCGAGATGTTTTTTTTCAAACGATTTTCACCAGAGAATTCTCTTTGTCAAGCAACACTTTCGCGCTAACCTTCCGTTGAAGACTGATTTCAGTGCCACAGAGAACGCAGCGTTTTATAATTTTTGTTCCGTCGTTGGGTTTCGGCAGGTACTTTTTTGTGCTCTCCAAATGGCTCTGTGGTGTCATCATGAAAAGTGAACTCATGAGCGACTAGCGGGCGATGGGACAGTGGTACTAGAACAAGTGGAAAGTGGTTCATTTTTATGTTTATTGGCGGTTTCTAAATGGGGTTCGCTATTTGCTTTTTCTATTGTACATTGTATAGATATGATAGAATGACTATAAAAAGTGATAGTCTCGTAACTTAAATATTGCTTGGAATGGAGTAGACAATGTGGTGTCTTAATATCGTAATATTTTATCCTGTTCTATGGGAATTTAATCTTTACTTTTACTCTGGCATTAATTATAATTTGCCTAGAATTTGTAGGGCCTGTTAAAAGTCTCTGATATCTACAAGATTGTCCCTAAATTTTTACTTTTTAAACGAATTTCAATCTAAAATTTAATGAATTTATGCTTGAAAATTATATCTCCTATCGATACTCAAATATTGTAAAATATTTCCCAGAAACTAAAAAACACAAAAAAAAATTAAAATTGAAAAAAAGGGACTTTTACCAATTTTTTTTTAAATTAATAGTTTTCTTCTCTTAAATATAATTATAGGCATTCAAGTTTGAAGTAATAACTATCATAAATAAGAATATTATAAATAATTGTTACTAATTATTATTATTATTTTTTATAAGAACTAATTGTTTGCTTTTCTTCCATTCACCGTCTATCATATCCCAAGCTTCTCTACAATCCCTAATCAAATGACTGCTGTCCCACTGTTGCCCCTTAATAGACACTAGTCTCTATCTCGTTGCTTCCTCTAGTTTCAGGGGGTTTTGTGCATTGTCATTGACTGTTTAATACTAAAAAAATAAAACAACAAAACGCTAATGAGAGATTTTGGAATACACATGATAGTGGGTTGATAGAGCAGTAATTAATTCGGTTTTCGTGGCTCTTGACATCGACTAACAGGCTGTCCGGCCACGTCATGAATGGAACTCTCTGGAGATTCCAATTTGTTGAGACCTTTCTCTGCCACTCGTGTGTGGTGTTTGCCGGGTAGTGCGGCAGCCAAACAGGCGGTGCTCCAGCCAACATATCGCTGGAGCACCGCCTGTCAATGGGTCAACAGAACTAGTATTTCAATGTTTGCTTTTTGTGTTATCATCACAGTGATATGTACTCGTATTAGACGCGTGTGCTGGCTCTACGTATACCTATGTATCGGTGAACTTGTATTTGGTGGCGGCGTGTGTCGTATAATTTAGTTGTAGTTTAAGATTGTTTTTCATGACGGCAGTGGTTTCGGATTCGCACGCTTGATGCATGCTGATTATAAAATATAGGAAAGAGGAAATTAGAGGAAAGAGTAGAATTCTCTTCAAAGAATAGAATTGGGATGGAACAAGGGCGTAGTTTCAGACGATTAATTTGTCGTTAGGTCCGAAAAACGCAATCTTTAGATTAAATCAATGTCATTCTAGGTGGGGTCTTACTCGTGCCTTATCTAGAAGGCATACATACCTAAGGAACGCTATCTGAATCACGTAGAATCAAGTAGAAGTTCGACAAGCAGACTGGGAAATTCCCTGTTCACATAGATTGGTAAATAGTGGATAAATTGGCAATATCAGTGGAGTCGACTTTTGAGAAGAAAAAGGGCACACAGTTTCAGAAAACAAAAAATATATGGCAAAATATAGCTAAATATATATTTTAAATTTTAGATTATTATTCTTATTATTCTTACTTCCGTTTTCGGGTTTCGAATGTATGATCCCCCTTTCGCATAAGCAGCATAGAAGCTATATACCCTATATATACTTCTTTATATTTTAAAGTCACAAACCATTCAAAATACAGCCACTTAATGACGAGAACCGTATCATCACGATAAGTCTGTTAATGGGGTGTGGTCATACCCATAATCGTAGCCGTAATAAGTAGTGTGTACGTAATATTTGTTGAATATATTAATTAAAACATTATCTAGTCTTCCGTATCTGTTGACAAGCATATCAAAAGTGTTTACTCAAGATTACCAAAATATAGATAAACCCACTCCGGTTTTTGTTTCTAGCCAACCCAACGCCTCTGTAGACAATTCAACACGAGTATGGCCCAACAGCAGATCAACTCGTAGATACAACTTTTTATGTCATTCACGCATTGAACATTTATCAGTAGAGCGGAATCGGCAGATAGGAACTATATGAGTATTTTGATTGTAAACCAAACCAGCCCTGCTATTTCACCATATTGGCTGAGATTTTGGAAACGCTTCTAGGATTATTTCTGCACTTCCCATTTCTGTTTCTTTTGAAATTGGTTTTCGTCTTTGAAAGGGTTTTTTTCTACCCATATCATGCCTTAGTTTGGAGCTGGTTTGAAGATTGGCTGAGCGACGGGAATTTCTAACGGGAAAATTTTTGTGTTGCAGGAAAAATGAAAATCCTTATTCCGTTTAAAACCTGCACTTTTGAAGATTGCTGGTTTGAAGATTGGCTGAGCGACGGGAATTTCTTACGGGGAGATTTTTGTGTTGCAGGAAAAATGAAAATCCTTATTCCGTTTAAAACCTGCACTTTTGAAGATTGCTGGTTTGAAGATTGGCTGAGCGACGGGGATTTCTTACGGGAAGATTTTTGTGTTGTAGGAAAAATAAAAATCCTTATTCCGTTTAAAACCTGCACAGCTACAACATTAACACGCCATCATCAAAGCAGATAGGAACTATGTATATGAGTATGTATTTTGATTGTAAACCAAACCAGCCCTGCTATTTCACCATATTTGCTGAGATTTTGGAAACGCTACTAGGACTATTTCTGCACTTCCCATCATGTGTTTTACGAGATACAATTTTTCCTCCCATTTCTGTCTCTTTTGAAATTGGTTTTTGTTTTTGAAAGGGTTTTTTTCTACCCATATCATGCCTTAGTTTGGAGCTGGTTTGAAGATTGGCTGAGTGACGGGAATTTCTTACGGGAAGATTTTTGTGTTGCAGGAAAAATGAAAATCCTTATGCCGTTTAAGACCTGCACAGATACAGAGTGCAGTCCAGACTACTCAGTTTCACAGCCAATGCAACATTTGCTAAGTTCGGTAAATTTTCAGGATATTTCAGTAAATATTTCCCAACTTAAATTCCCTATTTAAGGATATCTCTTGAGGCTGGTTCGTGTATTGGATATTCTGAAATAATGGTTAATTTTATGCCAAACGAAATGATACAGAAGGGAACAAATATTTACCCCTATTGACGAAGTAATTCGGAGTTGGTTTGCAGATTCGCTATTTGGGTAATTGTTCCCATTTTCTTCTTTTCTAGGGAAATATTTATGTAAATTCCCTATTAAAAGTGTATTAACGGAATTTCTTTGTTTGAATTCAGAGACAGAAAAAGTATTCCCATAATCCGATAATGTCAAATCAAAGAAATTAATTTTATTTCTATATTAATTTTATTTTCTATGATAATTAATAGAAGGATTATTATAACTCCAAATGACGATGACTGAATGTCATTAAAATTGTAGATAGTAACGATTTTTCTTCATTTTCCTGTGAAAACTGAACACGAATAGATATAGTTTATGAATTTATAATGATTTCCTTCCAACTGTTACACAGCTAACCCTTTTCACCCCGTATACTCTCTTACTCTGCGAGAATCGGCTAAAAAAGCGCCGGAAATGAAGAGCACGCAAAAGAGAAACCTCAACGCTGGCTCGTATGTTTTATAGCATTTTTTTCAGTGGGGGTTTTCCCGTGCTTTGCGATACGCATCACCAGTTGCTTTTTTGAGCGAGCCCCCCCAGGCGTTGGGGAGGTTCTCTGAAAGGGGGAGAGGGTAGAGGTCAGTCCAGGGGTCGGTAACAGAATGCGAAGAGTACGCGTATGAAAGGCCAGGCACACCATGTTTGGCTCTTTGCCTTTGAGTCGCCCCGGGGCTGCAGTATTCTCGCGCAGTTCACCCTACACTTAAAAAAAACATTTATAAAAATTAAAAAATTATTTACTATCTCCTGATATAAAATTGCCTTAGATATCTACATAGTAATGAGAGTTTTTAAAAGAAGAGAAGAAATATGAACTGAAAGGATCAGAGATATCATATGTTAGCTCATCTGGTATATTTATTGCTTCAATCTTGAATTTGATTTTTAATTAAAATACAAAAAATCAAATTTAATAAGCGTTGTTGGTTTTTAATTGGTTTTTAAACCAAAAATAGCCTCATAAGTTGAAGAAAATGTACCCACCCTGCTGGATTGAAAAGATTATAAAGTTTTTCTCTGGATTTTCATAATATTTTCTTTATAGAGAGTATTCTTTATATACAAGATGTTCCCACTCTCGAAACGATTTTCAAGATTGAAAAGGTTTCCTCTGGATTTCTATATTTTCTATAATATTATTTTGTATTGCTTTCACACACGAGACTTGGGGCTTTTCGGTTTCTTCGTACTTTCCCACTATTTTTCCGCTCAGTGCATGGCCTTTTGTAGTCCATACATACATCGGTAGCTTCTCTACATGTCACGTGTTTTTGCAGTTCATGACGGCTTAATTAACTTGCATTTTAGTTTTTTTTATTTTTCTTTCCTTTGCGTTAAACACACAGACGACACAGAGATTTCCGTTTTTCCCGCCACGCCCCTGAGTTTTCGTGTATTTCGGGGTTTTTCGCATAAATTTTGCATTACATTTTGCCGTTAAACGAAATGCATTAATAAACAACAGCGTTTAAATGCGCGATTGCACACAAATTAGTGAGCAGAGAGGCCAGACAGAATCGAATGTACCTCGAACCCCCCACTATGCTATAGAGCACCCCTCTGCAGGCCACCCCATACCCATCCTATCCTTTATCCGATTCGGACCTCGCTGATGTATGGGATTTTAATCGTA